CCCCACCCCGCCTGCACCCACTGTGAAAAGTTTGCTCTGGCCCATGTCAGTGCCAGAGGCAGGTCAGGCAGCCACGGCTTGGGGAAGTGAAGAGCAAACAGGAAGACGGGGGAAAGTACCTTAAAGGTAACTGAGCGCTGCTGGGGCGGGAATTAGCACCTGCACACTGAAGCAGTAAGAACAGGCAGAGTGGCCCATGAGGACCCTGTGCTGTCAAAGGCCAGGACAATGAAAGATGACTCAGGGTGGTAGCAGAAGGACTCCCGCCAACCGGCAGACCTGACCTGTGTGCTGGCTCCACTCTGTGTTTACTCCAGTGACTCCAGGCAGGGCCCTTACCCTTCACCTGGCCTCCGCGCCTCTCTCACGTGCACCTGGTCATGCCTCCTGCACATCACTGTGAGAGTTAAGTGAAGTGATATACACAGGTGCTACCCCCCCATAGTGACAGGTATGAGTTTGTTGGTAGTATTATGTGAATGGTTCCTTTTTTTAGGAGTTAACTTTTAAATCATGTTGTTGTTGGGGTATTCAAGGTGTGTGAGGGAAAGAGGATGTCGATGCGCTAAGTGAATAAAGAAATACAATTGTATGTAAAAGGTCCAGTAGCTCTGTCTCTCCTTGCCTGAAAAAATGCCAATTCCCAGGGCTACCTTATCCTTAGCAGATTCCTTATAGCCAGCTGTAGGGGCAGGGAGGGGAGAAGGGGAATTCACGGACAGCAAAGGACTGTCTTTGCATCCCTTATTCTAAGACAGAGACAGACCATTCATCTCAGTGGATGAGTGGGTAGAACAACTACGGGACATTTACACAATGGAGTACTACTTGGCTGTAAAAAAAGAAGAAAATTTTACCCTTTGTGACAGCATGGATGGACCTGGAGAAGATTATGCGAAGTGAAATACCACATGATTTCACTCATATGTGGAATCTAGTGAACAAACTGAACTAACAAGCAAAACAGAGACAGACTCAGAGGCAGAGAGAAGGCTGACAACTCTGGGGGTGGAGGGATCGAGCAAAAAGGAAAAAGGGCTCATGGACACAGACAACGGTGTGGTGACTGTGGGGTGGGGGGGAGGGTATAAGGGGATAAATGGTAATGGAAAAGAGACAATAAAAAATAAATTAAAAACAAAAACAGAGATAGAAACATCTCAGCAGCCAGGGGGGGAAAACGGTCTAGAAGCCACCATCCTAGTCCTGTATTTTGAGCTTACCCCGCACACTGGAGTGCCCGCCGCCCACCCCCCCGAAACTTACATCCCTAACTACTCAAAACACACACAGGATGTTGGACGGCCTTCAGGTTCTCTGAGATGCCACTGATAACTGTCAACACGCGCTGGCTCCGAATTAACCCTCGGGTTGTTCTGCATGTATTTTCCATATGAAACGAAACTGAGGGAAAAATTTTAAACAATCTGAACTTACATCCTGCTTTAAATTCATGCTGTGGGGCTGAAACAAAACTGGATCCTCTACCCACCCCCTAAGTGCAAAAATACTATTTATTTTTCTTGCAAATGGACCATATACAAGGGTAAAACAAATGTCTTTCTGTCTTGAGATGTATATATGTAACTTTTTTTCCCCTGGCCAAACTCCCCACCCAAAGTCAAACATCTAAGAGAATGACTAATATCACCCTTGCCTGGAAAAAAACCCCCAAAAACAAAAACGCCCCCCACGAAACAAAAAACCCCTCTCCCTCTCATCGAGCAGGAAACAGGAGATCAGGATTCTAGACCCAGCGGGGCGTGCCCTGACCTGCGGGTTGCGGCAAGTCTCCCCAGCTCTCTGCCCTTGCTCCCTGTCACTAGTGAACTCCAAACTGGGGCGGGCTTGGGCGTGGGAGAGGAGTGGGTCTGAAACCCCACCCAACTCTGAAATCCTATGGCTCGATCAAAACACGAGTAAACAATTTCGAGGTCTTGTATAAACACATGGTAATACTGACTTCCAGCGTGGGTCCAGGGTGGTGTTCTCCATAATGCCCTCTTCAGAGAACACCCCCAATTTCCAGTTCCAAGCTGTCAGTCTTATTTTTCTCATCCATCCCTTTCCCGCAGTAACATCCCCACCTGCTGGAACTTGAGGTTTGTGCTGCTGAAGTGAGGTATTCGTAAAGGTTCCGCGGCCTCAGCGCAAGCCTCCGCTGTGTTCCTTTCTGCAGGGAGGGGAGACCTCGGAGGCCGAGAACTCCTTCTTCCCACCCCTGAGGTCTCACGGTGGGGCTGCCCTGGGCCCAGGGATGACTAACAGCCCCCAGAAGTGGGTACTCTGTGTGGGTCAGAATTTCTGCACTTTTCTGAAAGATGATCCTTGGCTTCCTCCTCAGAGTCTCAGTGCCAGGGATCGAGTTAATGCCTCTGGGATTGGAGTCCTTGGAAACCTTACAGGGAGTCTCATCCCATCATGGGTTTTATGTGGTCAGAGGCAGGCCGGGAGTCGGGGGAGCAGGCCGTGGGAAGGCACCGAGCTCAGCTCTGAACTGCTGTGGTGGCCCCCTTCGGCCTGAGGCCCTTAAATCCCTATGTCCAGGTGAGGGAATGAATCACTGGGGGTTTTAGGGAGCCCAGCCCTACTCTTCAAGACCAGGGGCCTAAGCTGTCATCCCAGAATCAGAGAAGTCAGAGGCCTAGGTTCCGGGTTCTGCCCCTGCCTTTGCCTTGGGGGAGTCAGCTCTCCACTCGGGGCCTCTGAGAACAGAGAGATGGAGGGATGGCCTTTGGCTTTGCTGTTCACGATTCCTGTGTGTCTCCTACCTTCCTCTGCCTGCTGTGGAAAGGCTACCACTGATGGAGCTGTCTCTGCTGAGCCACTTCACTTCCCCAGCCCATCACACTTTGGGGTCTCATCAGGGGCAAGAAGGAGAGGCTTAGAGCTTTGTGCAAGGGCTGTGGTCTGACCTCTGGGCTCCTCAGGGCAGGAAAGAATGCCAGCAGTCCCTGAGGACGGGCTGTCCAGAGCTTACATCAGCCTCTCTGGGTGTCGTCAATAGGCTCCAGCGCCAAGTGGACTAGACGCCCTTTCCCCAAACTCCCCACCCAGGCTCAGGGGTGGGTGGGGCTCTCTACCACTGCGGCTCAGCTCCCACCTCCCACACTGGGCCCCCAGCCTCGGAGCCCCAACCCAAGTGCAGAGACCAGCCAGCAGAGCCCACAGAGGTGAGTTACACGGTGACGAAAGCATCCTCAGGATCAGTGGGGGCGGACAACCGCCACCTCTCCCCAGGCTCTGCTAGTGCAGACCTCCTCTCTGCCCTCAAGCCCGCTGACCAACAGCCACCTAATAGTCCCTGACAAGCATCCCTCTCCTATGTGGGCAGCGTTTCTGATCTCTCCTTGGAGGTCATCTTTCCACAGCCCCTCCCTTCCTGCACCCCATCAGGAGTTGTTTATTTCACACAGCTAAATGCCACACTCCTCGGCACGGTCAACAAAGAGAGCCGGGGAAGGCAGCCGCCCAAAGACAAAGTACAGTGCCCAGCCCAATTCATAAATGCGACTCAGATATGTCACAGATGTCCTAGATCATATCCAGACCCCTTTCCTTTGCCATCAAAACTTTCCTTTTGGCTCCCACAGGGTCCAGCAGATCTCATCTAGGCAGGACACTCCTAATTCAGCCTTTGGCTGCCCTTGAAAGTGACTCTAGGTAATGCTAGAATGACTGCAAAGCACACATATTGCTTTATGGATTTTGTATCTGAGATGAGGTGGGTGTGTGGAGTCCAGCGTGAGTGTGGGCCTGCCCGGTCTATGGGTGTGTCCATCACTTCAGCGACGAAGTGCTGGCACAAATGTTTTTCTTGTTTGATCCTCACCACTGCCCTGGGAAAGGGGAAGGCTGAGGAAGCAGGAGGCAGGCAGAAGTTTCAGGACACCTTGGGAGAGGGCACTATTGAGAAGCGAGGTTTTCTTCTGGTCTCGCACGACTGGGATGAAAGTGTCATCCCAGCCCTCGGGGAAATCCTCGATCTGGGTCCAGAGTGTGAATCTGCAGAGCTTTCTGTCCCCGAGTGTCTCACCTGGAGGCAGCCCTGCCTCCCTAGAGAGCCAAGGCAGGGTCACAGACACCCTGAAGGGGTCCTCTGCTTCTGCCTCACACAGGGTGGCAGCATTTCAGAACCCAACAGATACTAGATGTTGGTATTTTTCAGCAACTTGGCGAGGAGACACTATTCATTGAGACTTGGCTAGGAGACTCATTCTCCTCTGGCAATCTCTCCAAGGTTCTACATGTAGCCCTTTGGGGGTGGGGTGGGAATAAACCCTAGAAGAGAGCGTCAACTAGATAAGCTGGCTCGCTTTGTAAACATTTTAGGGAGGACCCTTGTCAGTAAGACACCCTTCCCTAGACCTGGTGGTCTGCCCAATACTGAGCTCCCTCGCATCTCTGCTCAGTTAGCAGCAAAGGGGGAAAACAAAAGGGATTCTGCTTTGCCTCCTTGCCTTTCCTCATGTAAATACCCAGGGAAGTCGTGCATTTTTAATGAGGTCAGTAACTGAGTTTTAGCAAGCAATTTCAGTGATTTTAGGAAGTATGTCTGAATCAGTGTATTACATAGAATAATAATAATGATAATGAACCCTTCCTGAGTCCTAACCACATGTCCCAGCACTGTAATGAGAACTTTATGTGGATTAACTCCTTTAATGCCACCGTGATCCTGTGAGGTTAGGGCTCTTTTATCCTCATTCTATAGATGAGAAAAACTGAGGCGCAGAGATTACCCAGTGAGCAGTGAGGAGGCCAGGCAGTCTGCCTCCGGATCCTTCTACGCACGTCTGGGCTTGTACCACCCCTGGACGTCTGACCTGTGCCCCTGGAGTACCCCTCTCTCACCAGAGCCCTGAAGCAGGAGGGGGGCTCCTTTGACACTGAGGCCTTGGCTCATGGATCTAGTTTTGGGACCCCCAAACTTGTGGGGCCTTCTGGGTGACAGCTACTCTTGTGCAATGACCCCAGTGACCCCAACAAAATTTGCTTACTAGTATCCCCTGCTCTGTCTCCTTTCTCTCCTTTTTCTCCTTTGGGGCCTCGGTCACCTGAAACAGAGGAGAAAAACTGGCATTAGAAATGTGAACGAGCCCTAATGGTAAATAAAGCATCATCTGCAGGAGACTTACTAACCCGAGACCAGGGAGGACCTCCAGCTGGAGCCAGCAGCCCTGCAGGGCACAGTGTCCAGCAAAGAGCTGCCTGTTCTGGCCACTCCGCCCTGGGGAGGAGGAGGCAGCACCTGGCCGAGAAGTTTCATTTCCTCCTTATTAAAGCCTGAAGGGGTATATGGTATTCAGCAGAAGGAAGACAAAGCAAAGATATTCCTATTAAATAGTCAAGGTTTTAGAAGTTCACATCCAAGTTTGCTCTAATGAGCACAGGAAGAGGAAAGGAGGGACATTCTTCAGTTAAACAGAGAGAGAAAGCCTAGGTTCTGTGTCAGGCGGTGTACCAGTTGGGGGGCATGGCTATAAAACATGAGGGAGGGAATTATAGAACTTCCTTCCCAAAATATGGGTGAAAGAGCAGAGCTCTTTTCCCAGCTAGCATCTCACTCTATAAAGAAGTAGGAGGTCCTGGCACCACCAAGCAGACATTACAATGACCAGGCAATTCTATTATTCTATTCCAAGTAGCTTCAGAAAGCTATCTACAGACCAAAAGTCCATGGCATGGTGTCTGGTGAAAAAAAGCAAAACCAGCAAGTTCTAAGGGAGGGTACTAAGTGTGATCCAAGTTCTGAAAAAACAACGGCAACCATATATGTAAATACGAATGTGGTTAGAAAAAGGTCTGGCAGGATGTGCTCCAAACTGTTTATAGTAGTCACTCTAAAGAGTAAGAGCTTCAGGGACCAAAGGGGAGGGGACTGACTTTTGACTTTATGCTCTACGTTTCTGTACTGCTCTTTTTTTTCAACAAGCATGCTTGCTTTTATACTCTGTTTCAAAGTCAATTTTTTAAAATGTGGATCATGAAAGGGAGGGAAGCCTCAGCCTGTTTAACCACCAAACAGAAAGTAGAATAAAAGTTCCTAGTGACGCAAGATTAAGAGACCACCCTAGACATGGGGTGGGAATGATTAATGGCTCATTTTTCTTAGATTTCATATTAGGAAGTGAAGAGGCTGAGCCTGGGGGAAAAGCATCATACTTCATCGTCTTCTTCTACAAGGATGATAGGAAGTCTGGGCACATCTTGAAATAAATGTGGAAAGTGGGCTCCCCTAAAAATGAACCAGGTGACTATCCATAGAAAGAGGAAAAAATGAGAAGAAACACTATTGGTTGTGTAAGCTGAGAACAGGTTAAAGTCTGGCGTATTGGGGGAACACAGAGACTGCGGCAGACTGTGAGGAATGCGGCAGTACTGGAGCGCAGGTGGCGGTCCTGGTCTGCAGCCTCTGTCCCTCCTGCGGCCCCGCTCTCCTGGCCTGGCTTCCCCTGAGCTGCCACCCTTAGTAATACTGGTTCCCCCATGCATTTCACCAGCACTTCAGAGTTTACAAAGTGTTTTCACATACATATTCAATACATCTGATTTAATTCTTATGGCAGTTCTGTGCGATATGGCTCATGAGGATTTCTAGTTTGGGGATGAAGAAACTGATGTGGAATGATGAGATTAAGTGACTTGCTCAATGTCACTCAGCTAGCTGGTCAGTGGCAGAGCCAGAATTCAGAGCTGGCCCACCCACTCCAATGCCCGGGCTGGTGCCCAGAGGCCAGCGGGGAGCCAGGGTGCTCTGAGGTCCATTATTACCTTTGAACCCACGCATGCCCATTGCTCCTGTGGCTCCTGGCCTCCCATCATCACCCTTGGGGCCGGGCTGTCCTGGGGTTCCTCTCTCCCCTGGTTGACCTGGGGAGACAAGAGACAAGTTGGGGCCCTTAGAGGTCATTGTCTGGGCCAGCAGTTGCCTTCAACCATTAATCCTCCCTTTGCTTCTGCTTCCTGATTCCTCTCAGGGAATTTAAAGATGCTGCAAAGGCAGTGTCCCAAGGTCAGTGCAAACCTGCCTCATCAACACTTTTTATCCCATTGGGCTGGACACTGCCCCCCACCCCTGCCTAGAAAAATCCAGTTCTACTATGAGTGACAGTGGTGGTGGTGGCCCTGTTTGGGAGATGTCCCTTTTCCTCTAGCTGTGCTGGAGATTTAGATTTGGCAAGATTTTTTTTTTAATGTGCCAGGCACTGTTCTGGATGCTTTGTATAAAGAATCTTATTTAACCCTCACAACCAACTAAGGTAAGTCTCACTTTACCTGTGTTACCAGAGAGATTGAGTAACCTGCCCACAGTCACACGGCAGAGTGTTGGAGGCAGGTTCTGAGCCCTGGCCTTTCCGAACTAAAAGCTCAGGGTTGGTTGGCTTCATTTTGCACTGATGAAGAGGGTTTACTGGTACATAGGGTGGGAAGAAGATGAAACAGCTCCCCATCACAGTTAAGAAAAAACCCGAAAGGTCCCTGCCTTGTGGCAAACACAGGGAAGTACAGAGGTGGGGGTCGCAGGCTGAGAGGAGGGGGCCTGCTACCAGAGTAGGCCCTGAGGCTCCTGACCAGGGGGCCTGCAACGTTCTGCATGTCAACAGCAAGAGCCAGAGTCAATAAACACTGTCACCCAGTGGCAGCCCTGGGTCCCAGGGGCCTGACCAGAGTCCATAGTTATCTCTGCAAAGCAGAGTGACCTTAATTAGCTGATTAATTCTTTGCTGCTTTGAATGTTATTTGGTTTCTTTGGGCTTTTTCTCTGACGTGGAGAAACCTGTCTCCCACTTATTATTCCTCCAGAGCTGATGTCAAACAGCTGGGAGAGGACAGGTAGCCCCAAGAGGGTGGCAGAACCTCAGTGAATGTTTTTTTCTGTTTTCCCCTTCCTAACACAATGTTCCTAGAGTCCAATGGCTCTGACACCACAGAACTGTGAATCGAGGGCAGGATGTGCCCAGGGATCCCCATCGTACAATTTACTAAAGCAGGAAAAGGGGTTCCACAGAACTGGGAGTCCCTGGGCATCCCCAGCTGAGGGAGCTCCTAGGGAGGGGGAGGCAGGGAGTGAGGCCAGGCCATGGGCTCTCCCTCCACCAGCCTCTGCATCCACTCCAGGCAACCTCCTTAGAGATTTAGAAAGAAGATGGTTTGGAGGTATGATTCCTGATATAAATAAGAAGACACATTTTTCCTGATAAACTTCTCCTTTTCTTACATAACTCAGAAGACTTTTTACACTCTCCTAGAAAAATGTTGCGCCCAGCAGAGGCTCCGGCATGGACAGACAGGGGTGCAAAGTTTGATAAAGTAACGGAACAGGAGCTTCTGAGCCAACGAGACTAAGAAGAACACATAGCACATCCTTGGATAACGTCCCATTCAACGTCGTCCTGTTATAACATTGATGGGGTGCTATAGGAACTTCATTTGTTTGTATCAATTAGCCTATGGTAAGTTGGTTTTGTTGTATGTTGTTTCACCTAAAATCACAGAACCTGTCAATGACGATACGTGAGGACGTACTATATCTTTTCAGAAGGCCAGAGAGTCCCCTCCCTACCAGCCATGGGATCTTCAGGGCTGTCGCCAGCGTGCGTAGCCAGACAGAGGCAGGAGAGGGGCAGGTGTTTATTGGCCTGCGCAGGTTTGGCAGGAGGTGGGGACATCAGGTGCCTGGCGATTCATTGAGGCATAAGTGGAGGGTTGCCTGGATCGCAGAACACCTGCAATTTCTTCTGAAGGTCCTGGGCACATGGACCCTAATTCCTGGGGTGGAAGGTGGCTTCAGGGAGCTGTGACTCTCTTATGTACCTTTGTCCTTCAAATCATGGTACTTGCTATGAAAAAGTATTTGCTCCATCCTAGTGTTACACCAATGACATCAGTCTCTTCACAGAACAGGGCATTTGAGGCTGAGTTGATGGGGCACTGTCCCAGGGAGCCCCATGACCAATACCAACGAGGAAGCACAGGGTTGGGCATGCGTTGGGAGCCCCTCCCTTCCTGGTCTGCCCAGGTCCCCGTCGGGGGCTTCCCCATTACCTCGAAGTCCAGGTAATCCAGGGAGTCCAGGCTCGCCTTCCTTCCCTTCATCGCCCTGATCCCCTTTGGGGCCCGGCGGTCCTGAAAGGGTTACAAACAGCACCAAGGTTAGAGGGTGGCTTTCTGGAACAGGCCACATGCAGAGGAAACAAAACTCCCTCCTAAAGAGAGGGAGGGTCAGCATGGTGCTTTAGAAGCACCCAGGGTGCCACCTTGCCCAGTGTTGTGGGTGTGGGTGGGGAAACCAGGGAAAGCTTCCCGGAAGAAGTAATATCCAAAGTGAAACTTCAAGGTGGAACAGAAAGTGACTAAGTAAAGGGAGAAGAGACAGTGTGTGATGAACTGAATGCCTGTGGCCGCTAGAGGCATATGCTGAAGCCCTGACCCTCAGAGTGCCGGAATTAGGAGATGGTGCCTTTGGCCAGGGATTCGGGTTAGATGATGTCATGCGGGTAGAGCCCTCATGATGGGATTAGTGCCCTCGAAAGAAGAGGCACCAGATAGTTCTCTTGGCTCCCCTCTCCCCTCTCTCTGGTGAGCATGCTTTCTCTGGCATATAGCAGGAAGGCGTCCCTCTGCAGGCCAGGAAGAGGGCTTTCATCAGAACCATCCCTGCCAACACCCTGATCTCAGATGTCTAGCCTCCAGAACTGTGAGAAAGCAAATGTCTGCTGTTTAAGTCTGCAGTACATTGTTAGAGCTGCCCGAACGGACCAAGTCAGAGTGCAAAGCGGTAGCCCCAGGAGGAGGGAACAATTCCTATGAGAGCTTAAAGATACATGAGCCATGATGGGATTAGAAGCTGGAGAGGGGCACATGATGGATTAAGAAGGGTGAGAAAGTAGAGGGCCTTGGGGTCCTGGCTTAAGTGCTGGCCTTGACCCTGGCGGCACCAGACCCAACCAGAGGAGCCTGAAAGAAGAGTGTGACCAAATCTGCACACAAGGTTTTGGCAATGGTTCGGAACAGGAGGGAAAGCAGAGGTGGGGAGGATTAGGAGGAGGCTATACCCCGGGGCGGGGGGGGGGGGAGGGCGGTAGAACCCTGAATCAGGGGCGTGGCAGTCAGGAGGGCCCTGAGCGGCTGGTTGAAGGAGAGGAGACCGAGCAGGTGAAGGCAGGGGAGGCGGCCAGGATCATGTTCAGATTTCTGGCGGAAGCACCTGGGTGGAAGAAGGGGGTTCTGACTGTTCCTGAGCGGGGCTTCCTTCCAGGGCAACACTCCAGCATGGCAGGGATTCTAGTGTGTGTGATTAGACTCGGTTCCCACCAGAAAGCTGGGTGTTGAAGTGACTTGTCTGAGGCCACACAGCCAGCTGGTGAGTGAAGGAGCCACGGTTTTAACTCGGGGCTGTCTGGCCCCCACCCACTCAGCCTCACTCACTGTGCCAGACATCTCCCCATTCCCAGACCACAGCTGAGCCTTCCCCCTATGGCAGCCTGCTGTTCCCAGGCTGGCAAGCCCGGGAGCCCTCCCTGTCCCTGTGCTGTCACTACCTGCCTCTCCATACCCCAGGGGCTGCTCCTCGCCACCTTCTTGGCCAGACCTTCTCTGATCCACCATTCCTGCTGAAAGGAGGCACAGCCTGTGTGAGTGCATGGACTCGGTGCCATTCGCATTTACCTCACACCACCTTGTCCTATAGTCGTGGGTGTGTGTGTTCTTTTTCCTAGCAAATGGCCAGCTCCCCGGGACAGGATTGCATCCTCGCTTTCCCTGATCCAGCTACAAAGATCCAGACTCTAAACTCCCCACACTTGCTGCTTTGTGAGAAAATCAGAGAACCAATGAGAACGCAAACCATATTGCACTGGACTAAGAGTACCCCCTCAAAATTCATGTCCACCCAGAACCTCAGAATACAACCTTATTTGGAAATAGGGTCTTTGTGGGTGGGATTAGTTAATATAAGGTCATATTGGAGTAGGGCAGGCCCTAACTCCAATATGGGACTGGTGTCCTTCTCAGAAGAGAAAGCACAGACAGGCACATGGGGAGAATGCCACCGGATGATGGAAGCAGATGTTGCAGTGATGTTTCTCCAAGCCAAGGAATGCCAAGGATTCGGGCAACATCACAAGTTAGGAAGCAGCCAAGAAGGATCCTTGAGGTTTCAGAGGGAATGTGGCCCTGGGTACCCCTTGATTTTAAACCTCCAGCCTCCAGAACTGTGAGAGAATCAAATTTCTGTTGTTTCAAGCTACTGAGTTTGTAGTACTTCGTTAGGGCAGCCCTAGGAAACCAAAACATGCATACTCGCAGCACAGCAGTGATGTCTTGCACAATAAATATTTGATAAATGAATGAGTATATGAGGTCAGAGGGTGTTAATACACACAAAACAACCAGAAGGCCAAGATCAAGATGTACTGATGACATTCCAGAAGTTGGCACTATTTTTAGATCCTAACAAAAGTAGACAGCTGTTTAATAATTCAATGGCACATACACAGAGAAAAAGTAATCAACAATTTTAAAATGCACGAGTTACACAAATCATTTAAGGTGGACTGGGTTCGGAGACATCTTCCTCCTTTCTACGAAGAAAAGCAAAGTCAGACAGGCCACATTGATCCCAGTTTTCAGGTGACAGAGTTGAGACACAGAACCTGTTTAGAACACAGCCAAGATTATAGAGCAAAGGAAAGACATAGTGAAGAATCAGATCAGCTTCCCAGCTCCCCTTCCAGCCACCTCTGTCCAGGGAGAGGCTGAAAGAGGGCACTAAGAGAGGTCCCGGGGTCTCTGCTCTCCATGAGCTGCCACAGGGATGGACTTGCCTTCCCCTGCCCCTGCTCCACCCCTCCCTCTTCACTCTCCTCTGCCCGCTCCACCCCTCCCAGTGTGGAACTCACAGCTCCAGGAATTGAGCACGTCAAGGATACAATGGGCCAGATGCTCCAGTTTGTTCTCTCTGCTCTGATATGTGTGACTCGATGAATGGCCCTTCTCTAGAGTAATTCTCACAAAGGGAGGACGCTGCCCAGAGGAATGACCCTGATGGTGGGGCACCAGGGTAGCAGAGGTCACTTAGAAGGTAGGGGTTGGTTATGGATTCAGAGCATCTTGGGTTCCAGGTCTCAGTTCTACAAAATCTAAGTAAAAATTCTTTTCTCAGGCACATGTAGTGAGGAGTGAGTGGATTAAAGGACATAATGGATGCAAAGGGGCTTGGTAACCTTTGAGTAGCAAGGCCATCTTTACCAACCCGTGCCCCACCTTTCATAACACCTCATCAGAATGATCCTAAGATGACAGTGTGTGAGGATTCTAACCTGCACCTGAAATCGCCCTGCCACGCTTGGCTGGGTCATCTAGAGAGAAGTCTGAAAAACATCCTCCACGTGGACATAGTTTTTAAGACACAAACAGTGGTTCCCGAGGGCCTTCCTGTACTAGAGATTAATTGGGAAGAAGTCAGGGTGGACAGTAAAGATTTTCAGACCCTAGTGACCTCCTTAGGTAGTATTGGCCCAGCAGACTCAAAGGAGACTAAAATGTGGCCAGTCCCAGTCTTGTGGGGCCAGGCTGCTTAGTGCTCTGAGGACCAAGCATTTCTTCAGCCATTGCTGCCCATGCGTAATGCAGTCCTGGGCTCTGACATTTTGTCATTTTATCAGGAATCCAGGCTAAACGTCTTGAGCTGCTTCATCTCTCCTCCCTTTGCTCTGCCTCCCCAGACTGTCACTCTTCCAGCCTTGTCATTGGGAACATAGCCCATGTCCTGTCTCTACCGGCACCAAGCTCATCGAGGTCCTCATGGCCTTTCTCCTTGTCTCCAGTTTCTCCCTCCAACCAGTCACGTTCATCCTGTTCATTAATCTCATCAGAAGCAAGTGAACTCAGTACCCGTGGGGGCCCCTCACAGGGCGATGTGCCACGGCCCCCTCTGTGGGCGACCCCTGCAGGTCATCCCCAACTGGTCCATTCTTTGGCACTCTTAATATTTCTGGACACAAACTGTCTCCCACCTCAACAAAAACATTCTTCTCAGTGTGTCCCCAAATCCTTTCCCTTTGAAGAGTCCTGTCCCTCTCAGCCCTCGAGCTCACCTTCATGCACACCCTTCTGATCTCTTAGGGCCCCAGAGCATGGCCCCCACATCTCAGAGCTAGAAAGGGCCTTGGACATTGCTGTGCACAAACTCCCCATGGGGGACACCCCTGAGCCGGGTCAGGTCACTCTGTGCCCACTTGCTGGGCATGGCCACTCACCTCAAGAGTGGTCCCCTCTGGTCCCCAAAGAGGACAGGCCTCTCTGAAGGTCTAGAGCTCCCTCTCTGTGGCCCTGTGCCTCATGTAGCCCCTGGCACATGGTAGAGACTCAAAGAACGGCTTCTGGCCAGTCCTAGAAGCCGTTATGGCATCAGTGGCCCCGGTAGCACCCAGACAGGCTTTTTCACTTCTCAACTTTGCACACTGTCACTTTCTCATCTTTTCCACCACTTGAGAGGCCAGAGCACGGAGGTGGGCTCAGATAAGGAGGAGTAGGGTCTATCTCTCTTCAATCGTGAAAGTAGCCCCAGGCCCCCCTCCATGGTGCTTCTGGTCTGGTATGCCAGTTTCTCCTTCCTGCCCGCCTCCTAGAGCGGCGTGGAGAGTAGGACCCCGGTGCCTGGGGTCCGCTCTCAGAACCTGCCCACCAGTCTGGTCTGCTTGCCCACGCTGCTTGCCCCAGGGCCGTTCTGCCCTCGCCTGGCTGCCTGTGAGCCACTCCAGCTGGAGTGTCTCCAGAACAAAACAAAGAATATGTGACCCAACATGTGGGAGAAACACCAGGATTCTTCTGGGAACCAGCCTACAGGGAGGGAAAAGCAATCCGTTCTCCCTTCCCGGATCCTGGGAGTAGCCATGGGTGGGGGGCCTGCGTGTGCTGGAATCTGGACCACAACCTGCCAAGAACAAGTTCTCACGACAGCTGATAGAGCGGGCCTGATGCCAGCACAACAGTGACCAAAAGCATGACGTCAACGCCACCTCCAGAACCAGGCTAAATTGGGGGCAGCTGACAGGGGCGGGGCAGCTGACAGGGGCGGGGCTCCTCAGTCACTCTACTTCCGCTTCCCTGACGTCACCGGGGCACTGGGCTCTGAGTGCCATTACAGGGACACTTTCTCGAGTTCCCTCACTTCCCTGCTGCACGCCTCTCTCCGCCACCCTGAGCAGGCAGACGGGGCAGGGACGGTCAGTCCCGCCTCACCAGTGAGGACACCTGACCCCAGGAGTCCTGCGGGCCTGGTCCTGGCCTGAGGGGCCGGCTCTCCCCAGAGCCTCGAGGGAAACGGGCTGGTGGGCGGGGCTGGGTGCAACTGCTCCTTCCCACAGCGTGCTCTCCATTCCCTTCCCCGCTGAGTCAGACGTGGAAGGGGAAGAGACAGAGCGCCTTACGACCCTCCCAGGGAGTCGCCAGCCAATGCTTCCCTGTCCTTAGTGGAGGAGAAGCACAGTCTCCATGCTGCTCTGATCGGAGACACGCAGCACCTCCAACCCGCCCCTGTCCACTGACGCCCCGTCCCAACGCGCAAGCCTGGGATCCGAGGCTCCCCAACATTATACGCCATCCCTTTATAAACACTGGTTGAACCGGACCCTCTACCAGATGGTGTTTTGTTGTTGTTGTTGTTTTTTTCTCAAAAAAGCGGCCCACAGGTAAACTTACTTTGCTAGCTTGTTTTTGTGAACCAAGAGATGTTATTTTCCACTCCCAGCTGGGCCACTGCCTCGGGATTTGGCTTGGGCAAGTCGTTTCCCCTCTCTGAGCCTCGGGGTCCCCAAGCAGAGGAGTGGGCTGGGTGATTTCAGAGACCTATTATTACGCTCATATTCTGTGATTCTGTAACATGACCATCTAGCAAACAGCCATCTGACCGTGGGGGGAGTTCTGCCTCCAGGCCTTTGCTCTCGCCTTCCCCCTCCAGGAGGGCCTCCTCTCTCTGGTTGGGCCTCCTCTCTCTGGCTGTTTAGGTTCTCTGCTGCTCTCAAAGCCAAAGGCAGATTTCAACAGACCTGATTAGTGCCGAAAACCCAAAGCAGAAAGCAGCACTGCTGTGAATGTACACAAAAGACAAACTGGAGACGAGATTCAGGGAAAACTATAACAAAGGAAGAGAATGAAAACCTTTTGGGGTCAAGCTCAAGAATAACATAAATAAGCTCATATTGAAAAATATACATAGCTGGATATTTGTGGATTCTGAGCAAGGAAGGAGAAAATGTGTGTGTGTGCACGCATAAAGACTAAGAGAGGAGCTGAACAAAGCCAGGACAGAAAGGCCACTTGGACAGCAGTCTAGAAATGCAGGGAAGCTCATCCGATAAAGCATCCCTTATCAAAGGCCTGGGGAGACTTTCGTCTCAATCAAGCTGAATGACGATTACATTCAGACATGCCCAACGGAGTTCTCTACTCATACCAATTGGGCCCCTGACCACCACAAGAGAGGGACATGGGAAAGGGTGAGACCAGACACAGTGGCGATCCTGAGAGCCAGAGGGGCCGAGCGGGGTCCCCTCTGAGGAGCCAGCAGCCCATCAGGAATGCAAAGTGTGGAGACTGGAAGGTAGGCCTGGGCAGGACTGAGATGAAACTTTTAGTTCAAGAGAACTGAGTGTGAGACTTAGTTTAAGAGCCAAAGAAAGACCACTTGGAGGATTCCAGTGGAAGAACCTTGGCAAATAAATGACCTGAGCTTGGAGGTGAAAGAACCAGGATGTGAAATACTCAGAGAGCCCGGGAGGATCACCAGAAGGAAGCATGGTGATGCCTGTTGACTAGAAGAGGGAGAAAGGGACTAGAGCCCGGGGGGGACCACCCCTCAGGTACGGGGATGGAGTCCAAGGGACCATGCCCCCTTCTCTCCACCTGGAATGTAGGATGGTCAGCGACAAGAATATAGTTTCTGAGCCAGAATGACCCACTTTCTGACCTTTACCACTTGCCAATTGCATAAGAAACCATGGGAAAGTTGTTTCATCTATAAAATGAGGACAATAATACCTTTTTGCAGAATGGGAGGATTAGGGGTCTTGAATACCTTCAAGAATTAATGAGAATTTAGAGAATTAATGCTGACAAAACATCTGGTTCATAGTAGGTCATGCATGATTTGGTGTGGCTGCTATTATGACTAAGCACCTGCTACGGGAAGGGGAGGTCAAGGAAAAGAGATGATGGGAAAAGCTAAGATCCCAGTGGTGTGGATCTAAAAGAAGAAATTCTACCTCTCACCCTCCTTTGATTTCTGACAGGTGAAACCCAAAATGGCCCAGGACAAGAAAACCAGTCCTCTGATTGCCCAGGCTCAAGATGTAATGGCTGTTCCCCAAACATTTACTGAGTCCCAGTCACATGTGCCACGCTGTCAGGCACTGGGGGATGCAGGGACGAAGAGGCGAGGGTAGACTCTGGTGTAGCAGAACGAGCGCTGGGCACTGGGCTAAAAGTCCTGGCTTGGTCATCGAACTGTACACTTAAATGGGGGAATCTCACAGCATGTAAATTATGCCTTATTAAAGCTGTTGAAAACCAAAGTCCACGGTCGGATCATTACCAGCTGTGCAGCCCTGAGTAAATCAGCTATTTCCTCCCGGAGCCTCAGTTGTTTTTCTGCAGGAATCCTACCCCGCCCTCAATAAGGAAACCTGCCTTCCGTCAGCCTCACAGCTAGTCATGGGGACCCACTTCAGAACAAAATAACATACCCCCAACACTCTGTAAATTGGGAAGTACTATGTGAACGGGAGGCTCCATCATTACTGTTTTCAGCTCTGGTAAGTGCAGGAGCTCAGAAGAGGGAGACTTGGGTGAGCTAGAGAGGCCAGCAGGGTTCTCGGAGGACAAGGGCTGGAGTGAGATCAGAAGGACTTGGATGTTGAGGAGGAAGAGGAAGAGGGAGGCACAGCTGGAGTAAAGCTATGGCCGTCAGCAAGGCGGGCTCTGCCCCTGGGCCAGTGACGAGACGTCTTCCACTGGCCTGGATGCTTCACACAGGACAGGGGATGCAAGCTGGCCGTCTCGGAACCGTATGTGGCCCCCAGATGTGTTGCCTTTGGCTCACAGTATTAAACAATTAAAGATTTCTAGAACATTCCACGTTTCTGGTTTCTCTTGAAAAATAGGAAGACCTTGTCAATGCCTGCCTGGCCGAGATGGGCTGGACCTGCCATATGCCCTACCACTCCCCCGACACTGAGGTCACTTCACTTACTGACAGAGCTGCACTGGCCTGACAGACAGTTCTGTTTGCAAGCGCTTCACTGGGGGAACAGCTGGAGGAGCAGGCAGGAAAGAGAGGCTGGGGACGCGCATGGGATGGAAAGCTCACCAGTGCTGGGATCAGAGAAGCCTGGGTCCAAACCCTGGCAACCTCTCCTCCTAGCCAGCAACTGTGAGCGGCTTTCTGAATCCCCGGGCATGGGTTGTTTTAAAAAGACACCATAAGAGGATGCCCTTGGCACCATGTCGGACACAGCTGGTGTTCAAAATGGTATTGTTATTGTCTACTGTGAAGCTAAGGAGTTTGTAATGAATTCGGCAGAACTTGGGGGGTCCATGGTGAGTTCTGAGTGGGGGGAGGGAGTGATGCAGGAAAAGTGCATTTTCTTAAAGCTTCCTCCGACAGTGATGGGCAGGGCGGACAGAAGAAGAAAGGAGTGGGAGAGAGGTGGGGAGGAGCCAGTGACACGGGAATGGGAGACAGGGAGGCTGGTTCGAAAGGCTCTAATATTTGTAGGCCTTGAGCAAGGGTACAAATGGAGGCCTGTGCCTTTTTTGCCGTTATACGTAAGAGTTACAAATGAAGCTGACAATCTATTAAATTAAATATGTTATTTTAGCATGATAAATACAGGGTAGGGCAAAAGTAGGTTTCCAATTGTTCATATGGAAAATAATATAATACTTAATAAATAATATCATAACAAACTCTGTGTTTTGTGTGCTCTCGACTGGAAACCTACTCTTGCCCCACCTTGTGTTGCTCTATCACAGTCTGGAAGGCCAGGTTCAAACTTGGAATTCCAACTCCTTGTAGCTCTACCAGTGGAACACCATTTCCCTGGAGGGGTAATTTGCCCCCCCCAGCCTGAGTGCAGCCTGACCCTACCTCCCACCAACCCTTGGAGACTCCAGCTGGCACATCCAAGCTCTGACTACCCAGTTCCCCCACTGCCATGCTTGGCCATTGTCATGCCCTGGGGAGGGGACACTGAGTGCACTCTCTGAGGGTAGGGACGCACAGGGGCGTGTACAGGCCTGAAAATGGGCATAGGCCATTTGGGCAGAAATTTCCAGGGCCCGAAAGAGCAAGCTTTAATAAAGGAGGTGTGGGCTTCCAGTGTCAAGTCAGCCTGGGGAGGGCCTTCGGGGAGGGAGCACAGGGAAAAGTCCTGAACAGGAGGGGCCCAGGCAGACACTGCGGGCTCCCTACCTTTGGCGAGGGAGATGTTCCTCAGAGCGATGGAGTGCTCCCAGTCCTTGAGGCGCAGGTCCTCTGTGACGGTGTTGAGCATAGCCAGCTCCTGCTTGAGCTGCAGCTCCATGCCCATGTGCGCCAGGCGCATGCGGCGTGTGTCCTCGCTGGCGTTGCTCACCAGCACCTGCAGGTCTTGCAGCCGCGTGCTGTGAAGGGCCACGTCGTAGGACAGGCTGTAGTTGAGGCCCCGCAGCGCTCCGCCCACGTCTGCCAGCTCCTCGCCCAGGACGCCTACCCTGCGCGCCAGCCCGTCCAGCAGGCCCGCGTGGTGCCGAAGCAGCAGCTGGCTTTGGTTGCTCTCCACCTGCAGCTGGTAGAGCTCCAGCTGCGCGGAGTCGCTCTGCTGGCCCGTGCGATCCCGCAGCAGGGCCACCGCCTGCTCCGTCTGAACCGCCTGCGCCTGCAGCCCCCACAGTGCGCCCTCCAGCCGCTGCACCGCGCCCGCCAGCGCCAGCAGCGAGTCCGACTGGTTCTGGAGCGCGTCCTGCACCTTCCACACCTGCTCGCTCAGATCCACCTGCAGCGGAGCCTGCAGCAGCCGCAGTTGCAAGTCCCTGAAACTCTCGTTCAGCCGGTTCACATTGCGCGTCAGCACCTTCAGGTCATCTGGGGAGCTTCGGGGCCTCGACGCTGCGGATAAGGAAGGCGAGAAATGAGTGCCACTAGGGAGGTCCTTGGGTCCCAAGAGGCAGGCCTGCCAGAACATGGTATGCAATAGGCGCTCAATGAATGATGAATGAAGGGAAAGCAGAGGTAGCTATGGCTGAGCGCCTTAACAATAACCAAGCATTGTGCTAAGCCAGTGGTCCCCAAACTTGTCTGCCCTTTAGAATCACCTGGCCAGGTGTCCCACCTGCAGAAATTCTGATTTAATCGGTCTGGGTGTGACCCGTGCTTTGAAAAATTTATTTTTATTTTTAGTTTTTTTTTAAAGGTTTATTTATTTATTTTTAGAGCGGGAAAAGAGGGCAAAAGAGAGAGAGAAACATCAATGTGCGGTTGCTAGGGGCTGTGGCCTGCAACCCAGGCATGTGCCCTGGCTGGGAATTGAACCTGCAATACTTTGGTTCAATCCACTGAGCTACGCCAGCCAGGGCCTTTATTTTTTTTTAATTTTTATTTTTTTAAATTTTTTATTTTTTTTGCTTTGAAATTTTTAAAAGCCACAGATAATTCCAAGGTGCAGACTAGTTTGGGAACTGCTGGGAACCTCATATGTATGAGGTTGATCCACATGAAATGGTCATTTCTACACGTTGAAAATGGTCGAATATGAGCAGTTTCGTGAGGCTTGCCCTATGATACTGTGTGTTGCTATCCTCTCAAGTCAAGGGGGCAGGGACCATTATTGTCCTCTTTCATGGTCAGAGCTGTTAAAGTGGCTCGAGGGAGCCCAGCAAATCAGTCATGCGGAGCCAGATGACTTGCTGGCTCCAGAACCCGGTGCTTCCCCATGCGCCTGCCCCAGAGCTGCCCGCGGGAGCCCCACCTGCAGCAGACTCAGCCACGCTCTGGGCAACACTATTTTCCAGCCTCCTGCGTTGAGGGTCCCTTTCCTTCTTGCACACCTACTGTGCCAAGGGCTCCTCCAGATGGGTGCACGTTTTATATCGATACCCTCCCTTCTCTGCCTCCTCTGACCCTTCTTCCAGATCCCGTATGTCCCTCTTCAGGCAAACACCTCTCCTCAGTGACTTCCCACTCTTCCTTGTGGATCGGTTCCTTTCCCTGGTTATAAGCAGCTACCTCACAGTGCTGAGAGGAGGGACATGCACCTTAAGCATTAGAATCTGGCATTCGGGGGCTCCCGGAAGCTCATGGGCTGCGTGGACTCAGTCACACGAGTCCAGGTGTGCAGCAGATCTAGAGGGCTGGGATCTAGGGGCTGTGTTGTAATTCACCCATTCTCTCACTACTAGTTTTTTTTCTATCATGGAAAAAAAATGTGGCAATGTCTCCCTTCTTTTGAAATGTTTCCTAACAATAGATTCCCAGAAGTTGGATCTACCAAACAACTATCAAAGGATATAGACATTTTTAGGGCTCAAAAATTCCAGCCGAATCACTTCCCCAAAAGTTTTGCCTACACGATAGACGTTATATGTACATTATAGATTTTGAGTGTGCCAGTTTCAGTGAAATCTCGGTGCACTGAGTATTATAATTTTCATATTGTAATTTCACAGATATAAAATGTTGTTTTTGTAAGTGTATTTGCATTTTGGAAGTAGCCTTTTAAAGACAATGCATAAGCTCAAAGGAATGATCCAGACATTTTAGGTGCCTGTGCTAATCAGAACAGAAATTATCTTGAGGGGTGAGTACTCTTCAGGCATCAAGTCGTGCTGTTTGAGCCCAGAGCAGCCTCCCTTTTGGGGGATCACTTGCCTTGTCCACCCCAGAAATGGAGTCTCTCCTTCTAACAGCCACAGTACGCTCTCAGCCCACATGCCACACCACCCACCGTCTCCCCCATTTAATTTCTTCCAGATGTTCGCTGTTGTCAACAGGGAACAATTCCTTTCGAGTGCGACTCCCTTAATTCGTGTTTCTGCAGACAGTTCATTTATCTCCCTGCTGGTGCGTTTACTTTTCATGTGCTTTGATTATTCTTCGACTTTTATGCTTTCACAAAGAGGAAAATAAACCAGAGACTAACAGTACTGACTGGCGTTTCCAGAGTCCTCACTAGGTGCCAGGTCCTGTCCACACACTCCATCCCATAGCCGCCCTATGAGATAACTACTATTACCACCCTCCCATTCCAAATGAGTATACTGAGGCACGCAGAGGCTAGGTGGCTCACAAGGTCACACAGCCAGTAGGTGGAGGAGAGGGACCGAGCCGGGCAGTGTGGTTCCAGAGCTCCCAGCTCTCGGCCACCATGGGATATGCTGGAAGGGTAGGAGGCACAGAACCAACTTTTTGAGAGACACACAAACAACCAAGGAGCTAGGAAGGCAGTGAGTTCCATCATAAATTTGAGCTGGAGTCAGGCTGCTTGGTGGGAATCATGCAGAGATTCAAATGTGGATTCTGATTCAGTGTTAATTTCTGACTACTACTTAATGTGTCAATGTAGAATTTACAAGAATATATGACTAATGTACTAACGTTGGCCTCAGGCAATGCCCTGGGCTAGGTGGCTGGTACAAAGATTTCTTCCGCAGCCTCCTTATCTGCCCAGCATCCCCTTCTCACTCACACCCCGGTCCCGAGTCAGCTTCCCGTTCCATAATCGTTCTTTATGGTCGTGAGGAAAACAGCCATGTGTTGGCAAAGTCAAGGTGCCCCAGTGTGACCAACCAGAGAGGCCATCTTCCCCAGCATGCCAACAATGCCCACAGGCAGAAGACCCGAGTGTGCGTTGGGAGGAAGAGAGCAAAGAGTTCTGTTTGATGCTCAGTGACATAAACCTGGGGTGTTGCTGTTAACAGCCCTTCATATTTGTATACAAGTTCACATCTTTGGCCTCGCTTTTCAACATAACTAATCTCGGGAAGTAGGCAGGGCGGGCACGTATTCATAATCTCATTTAAGGGTGAAAACAGAGAAGTCTAGAGACAGCCATAGGCATAAAATAAGGATGAACTGGGTCATTCACCCCTCCATCCACACTCTGTCCTCTACATCTGCTGCTGGGACAGTCAGCCACACGCTGAACTCCAAAATCCATATGGCGAAGCAGGGCAGGGATGACTTGTTTAAGTGCCTACTGTGTGCCATACTCAGTCCTAGTCTCTTACTAGATGTCGCATCTTCCCAACCACCGTGCAAAGTGGAATTTCAAGGCCCATTTTCAGATGAAAGCACTTAGGCAGGCGGCGGAGCATGAAAGCAGACTGAGGCCACAGAGTATCCGAAGGCCCTGCTGGCCCCACATTTTCCCTCCCTTGCCAAAAATAGCACAGACAGACTCTCTCCCCCTTCCTTCCCAGGCAGGCGGCCCTGGGGGCAGGCACCAGCAGCTGCCATGCAGAGGCCCTGTACCAGTCTCAGAAGTGCAAGCGGGAGGGTCTTGTTCGAGGTTTGGGAGAGCATGAAGAAGTGGCACCTGAGGAGTGTCACAGAGGGGCCCACGGGAAGGCAGCGGCTGGAACCTTGCCACGTGCCTCACAGTTCTCGTGTGGTCCCCCCATGCCCTCAGGCAGACAGTATCACCAGTTGACAGAAGGAAAAAGGAAACTAGAGCAATTAACTAGCTCAAGGCCATCCTGCAAGAAGGAGGTGGACCCGTCTCGTTCTAGGTCCAGGCTTGTTTCGTTGCTTCCCGCAGGCCGGCGATGCTGCTTGGAGGAAGGAGAGCATCGGAACTCACAGAACATCACCCTGAGGGCAGAGCATGGGAACGGTGGGGCCAAAATGAGCCTGCAAAGCCAGCACGTCAACATAAACACTGAGAAAAAGACAGGGGGCTTTCTCTCACCGGTCTGCGAAACCGGGTGGACTTGACTGGGATCTGGACACATGTGACTTTCACAGAAAATTAATTAAAAAGTGGATCTTAATAGTCATTCAGAATTGCCTCATGAAGAGGTTAGCAGTACAGCTTTAGCCCTTAAGGTGATCACATTTTCATTAGGGTTCCCCTCACCCCAGATGGAGAACTCAGAGCTGGCCTCACGGGGTGTGACGCGCTGATCACAGGGCTTCACGCTCAAGGGGCCCTGGGCTTGGGCTTAACGTCCTGTTGTGTTTCTCCAGAAATTTTTGATACTTTTACATTTGAATTTGTGTTTTGTAAGTGAAGGGCTGAGGCAGGGGAAATGAAGCAGATGGGGGAGGGAAGGTATTAGGGGACATTCATAAGGACCAAGAGGAGGGTAGCAGATGCGTAAATTTGGGGCGAGCTTTTCTGTGCAAGCACCACATGCCCCGGGCTAGCTTGGCAGGATGTCCCGGATGAGCCTTTACAAACTGGACACTGGCCCCTTGGCCTGCAGCTCCGCCAGCCCAGCAAATGTACACAGCAGGGAGCCAGCTCCTTGGATCAGAAGGGGCTCCTTGAAAAAGAAACCAGGCAGACTCTGTCTTTGCACAGGTGGCCTGTGCTGTCCGATGCGCCGTCAGCCTGGAGACTCCCCCACCAGTGGCTCCCAAGGGCACCAGTTTTGCCTGCATTGGTATGACATCCTGAGTGCCCACCTGCAGTGCCTTTGCCAGTTCAGGGACCAGCAGGGCTCTCCAAGTGAGCGAGCACAGGTGGTCAACTAGGTCTTACAGGCAGGATCCAACACACAGGCAGAGGACCTGCCCCCTGAAACTGCCTCTGAAACGGTGGGGTGGTTGCAGCCCAGGTGCCTGTCCTTTACAAACAGGCCCTGTCTCTGGCGGGCATGTCAGTGAACAAAGCTGTGAACTGGAGAGTGGGCAGCGCGTGTGCTAGCTGGTGGCCAGCCGACAGCCATGACCCCAGTGGAAGAATGCCCCAAGGGCACCAGGTCTGTTACTTTTCCCAGGGGTGTGGCTCAATCCTCTATGCTCCTGGCACAAGTGTCCCTTTGGGGGGCCAGGCAGACAGAGTCTCCGATAATTCCCTGTGATTGTTGTGGAAAAGGGATCCAGGAGGAATTATAAGGCAAAAGGCTCCAGCTGAAGGGACTGACCCCAGGATTGCCATTTCAGAGGCT